TATTATATATAAAGATGATTTGATTTTTTGGTTTCTTATCTATGATTACATATTCTGCTACATATTTATATTGTTATTTAATTTTTGTATATTTATTTATTATTATTTTTCTTATGTTTTCGTATTTCACTTAACTTAGATTATTGCTTTCTAGTATCTTGCTCATTTTGCTTGATTATAATTATTATAATTGGCCTATGTTATTTGTAATTATGTATTGTATATGGTTTTTTTTAAAATATATATTGTATATGCTTGACAAGTGATGTTCACAGATTGTTTGTTCAAAATAGTGATTACGTTCGCTTTTGTGTCCCTGTTCAGTCATACAATTTATTGTACTTATTATATACCACCATTGTATTGTACTTTTTTTTGACAAATAAAGAATAGGGATAATAAGAATTGCCAAGTTAATTTTGCTCATGATAATTTGTTAAATTAAAAGAAATATATATAGCAGAACGAGGTTTTTACCATTGGACCCAGCACGCTACCGCTGCGCTCATTCACAACGTTCATAAACTGGCATAAGGTTTGTTGCTTTGTTTTGGTCTGAGAAATCATACAATGTCGTAAGTTTTGATAATAAAAATATACTTAGCTGAGCGAGGTTTTTCGATCCTCGGGGACCTCTAGGTTACGGGCACAGCACGCGTCCGCTGCGTCACTCTGCTTCTTATACAAAGGCTTTCTAAACTTGTATTAGTTTCAGAAATCAAACAATTTTGAAAATTTTAAATAAGAAAAATATGCTTAGCAGAGCGAGGTTTCGATCCTCGGACCTCTGGGTTATGGGCCCAGCACGCTTCCGCTGCGCCACTCTGCTGCTTACATTGATCCTTCCAAAATTTGCATTAGTTTGAGAAATCAAACAATTTCAAAATGTTTCAATAATAGAAAACATACCTTAGCAGAACAAGGTTTCGATCATCTGTCGTGATCCTCTAAGTTATAGGCCCAGCCGCTTCCGCTGTGCCACTCTGCTCTTTATATTAACGCTTCATAAACTTGAATTAGTTTCAGATATTAAACAATTTTGAAAATTGTAAATAACAAAAAGCACTTAGTTGAGCGATGTTTCGATCCTCGGACCTCTGGGTTATGGGACCAGCACGCTTCCGCTGCGCCACTCTGCTTGTGGTACTTAAACGTTACATTAAAAGATTCTCATTGACTTCGATGATGTCTTAACAATTTCGAAATTTTTGAATAAATAAAATACTACTTAGCAGAGCGAGGTGTTGATCCCCGGGCCGGTTTCGGGACCAGCGCGCTTCCGTGGTAAAAATAACGCTTCATTAAACGCTTCTTATTGACTTAGATGATGATGTCTTGACAAATTCCAAAATATAGTCCTTAAAATATTTAGCAGGGTAAAGTTTCGATCCTCGGATCTCTGGAATATGGACTGTACGCTCGCACTGCCCCACTCATTTATATAGTAATTTTATTATCCAAACGCACCATTTTCTGCTTGTGGTACTTAAACGTTACATTAAACGATTCTCATTGACTTCGATGATGTCTTAACAATTTCGAAATTTTTGAATAAATAAAATACTACTTAGCAGAGCGAGGTGTTGATCCCCGGGCCGGTTTCGGGACCAGCGCGCTTCCGTGGTAAAAATAACGCTTCATTAAACGCTTCTTATTGACTTGACAAATTCCAAAATATAGTCCTTAAAATATTTAGCAGGGTAAAGTTTCGATCCTCGGATCTCTGGATTATGGACTGTACGCTCGCACTGCCCCAATCATTTATATAGTAATTTTATTATCCAAACGCACCATTTGTAATACATGCCGTAAATATACATAGCAGAGCGTTTCAATATTTATACAATAAAATATATATGATAGTAGGCCTATCCTTACTATTAGAAAATTTGTTTAAATAATTAAAATTTATCTTCACTCGCTAAAGCAGCAAAAATCAGGGGGTTGGGCTATTAAATTTGCCTGTGTTCTTCATGTGTGTTGGTATGGATTGATGTAATATAGATGTGGAGTTGTTAATTACGATTAATTTCAATCTTGATAGTATATAAATATGGCAATAAAAAATATAGCCTATCAGATTCTGTATGATAATGGTAATTGATTATTTACATAATTGATAGTAGTTAATCATTTTTTTTTAATTTTAAATTTACTCAGGGGCATTTCTGATTCCATATGCCACGATGTTGCTCTTGGCCGGACTTCCAATGTTCTTTATGGAACTATGTCTTGGTCAGTTCACCAGCAGTGGACCAGCAACGATATGGAAGATGTCACTGATGTTCCGAGGTAAGATAAAAACATTTAATAATTATAATTGAATGCTTGAATACGTGTATGTAAACAAAATAATCTTATAATTCATTTATCTTTCATTATTTTCAATTTTTTCATATAATATAATATATTTATATTATAAATGTATTGAACTATGTACATTAATATTTTCTTATATTCATTCATTTACCTATCTATTATTCCATCTACCCATCCTTCTATCCTTTCATTCATTCATTCATATAGTCAGTCAGTCAGTCATTCTTCAATCTTTCATTCACTCATTCATCCTTTCATTCATTCATTCATTCATTCAATCACTTATTCCTTTATTCATTCATGCATTTATTTATTTATTCATTCATTCATTCTTCCATCCATCCATATAGTTCCATCCCGCTATCCTTCAAACCATCAATTTATCCACCTGTCCATTCATTCATTCATCCATTTATTCATTCAGTTTCATTCATTCATTCATCAATCCATCTGTCCATCCATCCATCTATCCTTCAAGCTATCAATTTATCCATCTATCCATCCATCCATCAATTTATTCATTCATTCATCCATCCATCCACCCACCCACCCATTGATTGATTGATTCATCATTCATTCATTCATTCATTCATTCATTAAGTTTTTCATTCATTCATTCATTCATTCATTAAATCATTTATCCATTCTTCTGTCCGTCCGTCCTTCCTTCCATCTATCCATCTATCTATCCATTCATTCATTCATTCATTCATTCATTCATGCATGCATGCAAGCATCCATCCATCCATCAATTCATCCATTTTTATTATGTTTGTTATGTCCTTCACATTTTTTATTTATTTATTTATTTTTTTGGTTTAACAGGCATCGGATATGGTATGGTGATGATTTCCGCGTGTATAGGACTTTACTACAACGTAATCGTAACATACACGTTGTATTACATGTTTGCGTCCTTCACCACGATGCTGCCGTGGGTGGGCTGCAACAACTCATGGAACACGGACATGTGCAACGGCTTTTACGACGAATGTCTGAGCAAAGGGGACAGTATTATGACGGTGAACAACACATGCGTGGCAGTGGCGTCTATGTCGGAGGATATGCTGGAGTATTATGGCGTCAAGTATAGTGCCCTCTCGGGGCTATTGGACTTGTCCAACTACACCGACCCTCTTCAGGGTCAGAGGAGACTCCTGAGTGAAGAGTATTTCAAGTAAAGACAACGCTCTACATTTTTGATTGGATTTTGGTATACTACAATGCTTTAATGCAATAATGATTATGATAACACGACCGAAATAATGGCCAACCTATATTGCAATACTGAAAATACGTCCGAATATTACCTAAATAATAGACCTAAACTATATTAATAATATTAATGATATTTATAATGAAAATAGCAATATTATACAGATAATAATAATGATTACAATATTTAAAATAAGGAAAGTATAATAGTAAAAATGATGATGATCATAATAATAATACTAACACTACTACTACCAATAATAATGAAACATTCTATAATGGGCCTACTTTGTGAAGGTCTTGTAAAAAAAATGATTAAATTATTGTGACGATTGGGAGTAGGGTGTGGATCTGAGGACCATTGAAAGGAAAACGTCACAGACCAAATATTTTGAAAACGGATCAACTGAATGAAACATTCGGAAAAAGTTTAACCAAGTTACAAGGAAGATAGTATTATGTGTTGGCGACGAATCAGTCAAAGGTGTACATTGGAGGGTCATTTAAATTTTTCAGAGATTCCAGACGTAAATATCTATAAAAAGTTTTCAATTGGTGTAAATGCAACTTTCTATGATAGTTTGGATAAAGATCCAGTCAAGAAATGACTTATTTGTTGTGATGATCCGGCATGGGGTATGAATATGAGAACCATGTAAAGGGACGTCCCTGACCAGATATTTCAAAAATGGGTTAACTGATCCGAATAAAACTTTCGTGAAAGTTTAACCAAAGTTACAAGAAAGATATTATGATATGTAGGGGACGATCCAGGGTACTGTGTAAATTTGAGGGTCTTTTAAATTGCTTACGTCCCAGTTATGGATAAAAATGACACTTTGCAGAATAGTTTTTCATGGTGAAATAAAGAAATGATTCAATTTTGGTGACGATCCGCAGTAAGGTGTGGATATGAGGACCATTAAAAGATTTTTTGTTGACAATTGATTAAATTATTTAAACGCAATTTTTTTTTTTAAACGCGTTGTTTGTAAAGCGCATAAACCAGTTACAGCTAGGTTGAACTCAAAACTACCACCGTGATATGCATGAACAATTTTGCTTTAAGTTATTGAATCGCTTTGAACTGAAAATGCACTTTCCTGTGTAAGGTCAGCCCATATAGCGCGCAATGATTGTGATCCACGATGCACTTCGCTCATTGCAGCCATAGTTCAAGTCTCACTAATAACGTCGCAATGAACTTGGTTTTCCACTTAATTAAATTTATATTGGTTTTCCGTTTTTTTTTTGTTTTTTGTTTTTTTTTTACTTTATACCTTTTAACGAGTTTTCTTTAGCAGTAGCAGCAGCAGCAGTAGTAGCAGCAGCAGCAGCAGCAGTAGTATTGATAAAACCTTATAAAACTAGAGCAGTCACTCCATGAGTGCATACCTCCGGTTTATTCCTCAATACCAAGCAATACGTAGGCCGATGATTCAGGCATATTCAGCTTCTTGAGTGCAGTAGCATCCCTTCAAGAAAATAATTGAATCACGTGCCACTCGTATTCAGGCATATTTATTGTTTGAGTGCTACCCCTACCTGTGGCCGAATACGAGGTGCGATTCCAATATTTGTCTTTTGTACTCGAAGGGTGAACATCGATTTTCCATGACCTTGTACCATTCCACTAAATGTTATGATGAGGCTATTTATTAGTTTTTGCGTAATCTTGCGACAGGGAGACAGCGATGAATACATAACCTCCTCTGAGGGAAGTAATAAATGATAAATTTATATTTCTAGGAATGCTGTCCTTCACGAGGCCCCTGGTATTGGTCAGGTGGGATCGATTGTGTGGCCTCTCATGGGCTGCCTGATCTTCGCTTGGGTCATCATCTACATCTGTTTACGAAGGGGCATCAAATCATCCGGAAAAGTAGGAATTTTTTTAAAATTTCTACACTACTGAATGGGTTTATCATATTGACATGATAATACATTTGAAAATCACGTAATATCTAATAGGCCTACTTATTTATTTATTCATTTTTATTTCGACATGCTTATATGGCGCTGTACGAAGCACAGTGCCTACTTGTTACTAAACTTACATTGCAAAACAAAAACAATAAAGTGTGATTAAAAAATATAAAAAAAACTCAGAGAAAAGACACTCTTTAAGACGAGTTTGAATATAGAGGTGCATGCCGATTCCGCTTTTCTCAAATCAGGAAGTGCGTTCCAAGTATATCTGGAGCGGAAAAAGAAAACACCAATCATCGCCTGCTTTCGTCTTCGATCCCGGAACAAAAAGCAGGGTGGAATCATTAAAGGAACTGAGTCGACAATATTATTTTAGTCAAAACAAAGCTACTGTTCCATCTCAGTTAAATTACAGTATTAATATAATATAAAGGAATATTTTATATATTACTTCACTTCATTCCCGTACCTTGTTCTTTTCCTCTTTCTGATACTGGGAGTGACTTTGGATGGAAGCGAAAAGGGAATCGAGTTCTTCATCACTCCACGATGGGAGATTCTTTATGAACCCAAAGTTTGTGACACTTTTACTTGCTTATTATTTCATAAGAAATACAAATATCTTATTAAATAAAAAAAAATAGTAAGTAACACTTTTTTGACTAACGGTGACTGTGGCTTCATCAGGTGAGTGATATGGTGCATTTGACAATCTCTCAATGTTTAAGGTTATTAAAATGTTGAATCATAAACATTAATCTTAAAATCACAACAGAATTCCAGCTAACCATAACAATTTGATAATAATAACAGGAATAGTAATGATAATTTGTATGTATTCATATATATATATATATATATAAGGAAAATACATTTTAATAACTATTTTATTTAAAATAAATGTGATGTATATCTTATAATAATAATGTAGTTGTATGCGTTCTGTCTAACTAAGCACTTATCAGATGAATTATCCACAGAATTATCTTTTGGATTAAATATGTTTTACGTGACCTCCTTTAGGTGTGGTTGGATGCAGCGGTTCAAATCTTCTTTTCCCTGAGCACATCATGGGGTGGGTTGCTAACGTTGTCCTCCTACAACCGGTTCCGCAACAACTGCTGCTTGTGAGTATACCTGCTGATGAACAGTCGAATTTCTAATGATGATGATAATGACGATGATGAATTTGAGGATAATGATGTCGAGAATAGTGATTATGATGATGAAGATGATGATATTGATAATAATAATAATGATGATAATAATAATAAATTAATAACATTAATAATATTAACAATAGAATTATCTATCATTAATTTTACATTGATGTCTATTTATGTTATGCTATTTATTATTATGATAATAAAAACAATTATGTGATTTGTCATAATAATAATAATAATTATTATTATTATTATTATATTAATAATAATAATAATGTCAGAATATTATTATTATTAATAATAATAATAATTACTATTATTATTATTATTATTATTATTAATATTAATATTACTTATAGCGACGCAATGTTCATTGCCATTGCCAACTGCCTCACCAGTGTGTTCGCAGGATTTGTGATCTTCTCAATCATCGGATTCATGGCACATGAGTTGGGAAAAGAAGTCAGTGAAGTCGTAGACCAAGGTATAAGGCCACTGGTCATTAAGGTCTCAGATAACACCATGTGGAGGAAACTGATATATCGATGGATGGGTCTCTATTAAGTTACTTTTTCTCATGGTTAATTCTACACTTTTGTAATATTTCTATAAGATGATAAAACCATAAACGCAATCCTGCTCATTCTAGTGGAAATTGTGGTTAAGAAGATGCTTGCCTTCCAGTCCCAGGGTCTTGGCTTACCTGTGACAGTACATGATTTGTTTTCTCAGGACTAAAAAAACATAACCCAGATAACACCATGCCTTCCAGTCCCAGGGTCTTGGCTTACCTGTGACAGTACATGATTTGTTTTCTCAGGACTAAAAAAACATAACCCAGATAACACCATGTGGAGGAAACTAAAAAAAACATAACACACTCTCTGGCTTCGTAATGAGATCTAAGCTGATAAAACATCACGTTATTTCATCTATCTAAGAGGGTCTCCTCAAAATCAGCCGACCTTCTAGGACACGCTGTATGTCACCCTCTATAAGTATGTTTTTTTTAATAACTGACGACGCGCGTCTTAATCTGCGGTGGTAAACTTTTCTTATCATTTTACCCTATGTCTCTACCCCTCCTCCTAATATAAACCATAAAGAGGTCGGCTTTACCCACCAGACCAAGATTCCGAACTATAATAATTAAAAGTATGCAGATTAAAGCTATTCCTAAACTGAATAACTATGTCATTAAAGTTTTATGAAATTTTAGCTGCTAATTCAAAAGAATATATTATCACCTAATATGTGACCCAGATTCAGTATTCGTTGATTTTAAAGTAATTCCTAATTTGTATTTATATTTTCATTAGGCTTTGGTCTTGCCTTCATTGCCTACCCTGAGGCCCTGACTAGACTACCGGCTGCACCTGTCTGGTCTGTCTTGTTCTTCTTCATGCTGCTGACTTTGGGCCTGGACACACAAGTAAGAAAAACTGCTTTAATGATACTCAATTTAATTCGTTCATCTTCAGGATAATAACATTACAATGCTTTTTAATTTATGATTTGTTTCTGTTTAAGTTCACCATCATGGAGACCACTGTCTCTTATACACATCTAGATGTGTATAAGTAATAATATGTATACTAAGCCTGAAGGTGGCGCTTTCCTACGGCAGCCATCTTGGATGGTACACATACACAACTCTGCATTGCTCCGCCATCTTGTCAGCACTCTAGTTGTTTAATAGCTCTATGGAATTAGGTAATCCCAGAAAAATTATACTATGGAACGCCATGCAAATAAGTAATATGGAACGCCATTTGTGCCAAAATCGATTTATTCTTAAGCATTTCAACTGATTAAGACAAAGATTAGGGACTGGAACCCAGTCTAATGGTGTGTGTACTGTCCTTTAAACTAGTATTGTTCTCACAACCAAAAACAACATTCTCTTTCTCTCCCTATGCCTCGGAAAGACAATATGAGAACAATAGGTCCCGAATGATCAACTTCTTGGATGCACCATCCATTTTAACAGTAAACTGAATGCACCACATAGATTTTGTAACCTTTATTAAACACAGAAATATGGAGTTTTATTTCTCTTTCTCAGGCTGGGGTGTTCTGGGTCAATCTGTTGGATTCATACTCAGCAAGCTTCGTCATTCTCACCTTCGCCACAATGGAGTGCATGGTCATATGTTGGGTGTATGGCTACGACCGATTCAAGGGAGACATTAGGATCATGATTGGCGCAAGAAGGGTCAACAGCATGTTCTTCAACTACTGGCGGGTCTGCTGGTGCTTCCTTACCCCTGTTGTCCTGACCGTTCGTATCATACAATATTATACTTACAGTTGGCCTAACGACAACGCAGGGACGTAGGCTAGTAACTGATTGGGGGTACCGAAATTCAAAATGCAGACTAACATCTTACGCCAATAAAAATTCAATGGCCTATATAAAAACTCAATGGCCTATTTTGCTTAACCCAGTCCCACGTGCCTCAGCCAACGCCCATGTACTGAATTTGTACAAACCTGCTGCTTGAATTAGTTCTTTACTCCCCGTCAACAGCACATTAAACCCATTCTTTACGATTTACATTGGCTCACTGTTAAAGAAAGAAGTAGGCATATATTTAAACTAATTTTACTTGTTTTTAAGTCGCTCTAATTTTAACAACCATCATATTGTCTGGTGTTTCTTACGTTTTTCTTATGTTTTCTCACGGGCACTCCGTTCCACCGATGAACACCTTCTGCAAACCCCTATACTTAAACAAAAACATGAAGCATTATGGTCAACGTTCAACCCCCTCCCCCACCTCTATCCATCTCTGAAACCTTGCCCATTTCTGTTAAACAGTCAGCAAATTTAAGTTCTTAATTTAAGTATTTAAGAAGAATCTTAAAACTTCCTTATTTTCTAAAGCTTTTAAGTTTGGTTTAATTTTCACTTGCGCCTTTGATAATTTGAATTGGCGCGGTAAAAAATGTCTGAATTATCAATATTTATTCTTGCTTTAATATAGTTGAATAGGCCTACAGTATAATAATAAGATTGATCAAATAGGATACCGGTAAGTTTCTCTTTAAAAGAGTAATTATTGACCACTGGAAGTCAAACACAGCACTTGCTAATTTTCAGTTTCAGGCCATGCAGCTTGTTTGATGATGTGTAAATAAATATACAAAATAAACAATACTGGTTTTGCAGCATTCCAAATAATATTAATTGGTTAACATAAAATTAATTGTTTAAATTTGCATTTCAGTGTTGTTATTTTATTAACTGACACAATTTAATATTAACAGTTGGTACAGTTGTACAGCTTCGTCAACTGGGAGGCGCCATCTTACAATGGGGAATTTCCAGGCTGGGCGCACATCATCGGTTGGGCAATTACTGGTTCGACCTTCATCTTGACTCCTGTCTTCATCTTGGTGGAGATCAAGAATGCACCGGGAACGTTTCTTGAGGTATCATAGTTTTGAACTATTGTGTTTATTATTATTTTATAAAATTCATATTATTATTATTATTATTATTATTATTATTATTATTATTATTATTATTATTACCAGTATTATTAGCTTTTTGTATGTAGTCCCTTCAGTTTTTTACCATTTCAATGACAGATGTTTTTTAGAAATCAAACACTTTATAATACTTCACTACAGGTTGTCTTATACTATTAAACATTTTAATTTTTTTATTTTTTAAAATTTATTTAAT